GGGAGAATCTACATGCTGGAAAAAAATAGTTTCATCTGCATAAAAAGTATTCTAAAAAACAATCCCTGTGATCAGCTTACTCTTAGGTGAGATATTCCAGTAAGGCTGAAAGTAAAATGCAAACCTTTGTGTGTGTGTGAGTCCAGCTGGTTGAGCAGCACTTTGTTCCTGCCCCTTGTGAATGGCCAAAGGTACCCTATTCCAGGCTTGCCAATAATGACTAGCAAAATCAACAGGGTGGAATAGAATCAACACCGAAAATGTCTTCAGCAAATCATTAAATAAAAGATAAAGCCTTTATAAAAGTTAGGTTATAGTTTTCAAATTTTTTTAACCTCCTTTATGGCCATTTTGAAATACTTCTTCACAGGCTGTAGAATTTTCTAGCTAAACATTCTAGTTTCTTCTTAAAAAAATATTTATATATTATCTATATATAATATATATATACACACATACATACACATACTATACACACAAATATACATACACAAGAAATTTCATCCACTTTTTTTCAAAAAAAAAAAAGCAGTATACTTTCAGTATTACCAACAGATAGCTAGACAGGTACTCAAAACTTGTGCCTTTTGAGCAAAATATTGACATTTTTTTTATACTTCTGTATTTTTAATATGTGTGAAAATGTTACATAATAAATACAGCCGGTGTGTGTGATCTGTACAATTGTGCAAGGTCTCTAAAAGAGTCTCATGGTAGCAGAATTAGTTTTCAATTATCATGTCTATTTTTTTTCCCATTTTAACACTGACAGTCAAGTTGTTGGAAATGAACACATGTTGACATGTCAAAGGAGTTTTCACCTATTTGTCATTGTGGAGGATCTTAAAGAGGTGGTTTTTTCTGTTGTTTTTTTGTTTTTTTTTTTTCTTTTTTCCATATTATACATCATACAGTACAATGCCAGGTGAAAAAAGAGCCTTAATTAAGCATGCATCACCCATACCCCTGTATTTGACCCCACAGAAGGGCCAGTTGCATAAGGCACCATTATGAAGGTCAACAGTGCATTAACAGCTAGAAAACCAGAATTAGTCCTCAAGGCATAAATAAGAGAGACATAGCTGCATGAGAAAACGGTTTCTAAGCTTAGTGGTTTGATCCACCCGACTGAGAAAAAACAGTTTATGTTCTTAGCCTAATGTGGCATTAGACCAGTAATTTCCAGGCCCAAGCATTTAGACATTTGACACGCGTCCAATTTCTTCAAAGGGCACCTTAAGATTCTCCAAAAAGTAAGTTCAAATTCTGAGTCATTAAAAATACACCCTACACTGCACAATAGCATGTTGCACGGGGAGTGTCACAAAACAGACGGATCTGGGGGTCGTGTCTTGCCAGGCCTAAATGGCTTAAGGAATCATTGTTTTAAACAAACTGAATCCTATAGCTGCTTATTAATTGGAATCAAGATTGGAGACCCGATTGAAAAATGGAAAAGTTTATAGCTCCCCCAGACCATGCACGACTTTTTTGTATTATAAGGGAAAATGACCACTGTTATTTGTAAATACAGCTTATACAATGGGTTACAAATGAGCTCTGTGTAGCCAGTAAAACAAGCTACTTGACACACTGCACATTCTATAGCTGCACCAGACACCAGAAGGCCCTTTCACACAGGAAAGGGGGACAGGTACTCCCCTTGCCCTTAACACTCACCACTATGGGGTCCTGAGTTCCCACTCCCACCCTCCAAGTGGTCCTGAGTTCCCCCCCCTCCCCTCCAAGTATTTCCTTCTTTTTTTTTTTTTTTTTTTTTATAAATTTTTTTGTTTGTTTTTATTTTTTATTTTTTCTAAGGTGCAGACACCCTTCAGGAAATGATTGGTTGTCAACTCATCCCTTGGAATACTCCTCACACACAAAACATTCAAACTGCTTTTTTTTTCTGTCTCTTGCAGTTATTTGCTACCACAAGGGGGAAAAAAAAAAGTCTGCCTCACCATACAGTCGGTAATAGATCCTCAACATACAGTCATCCCACCCATTAACATTCTCAGTGCGCATGCTCACGGCAAAAGGCTCTGGGAGCCTCTCAGAAGGTTAGGAACCAGTGGCGAGGCGAGTCCAGGGTCACCCAAACACCATGCACCGTGGGTGCTATGCCGCTTCTGACATGACTTTTGTAGCCCTCAAAAGACCTTCCAAAGAGAGGCCCCTGGAGGTAACTGGGTAGGAAGCAAAATGGCATGCTTTGGCTGGTACAGGCATCCCTCCTTCCATGGCCGCCTCTCAGCCTGGAAGCCTCTTTTAGCCTACAGGATTCAGCCCTCTGCTCCTTCAAAGGTGCCTCTTCATGTGCAGGGCCAGGTGGTCAGACCTGGAGAAACACCTGCAAGGGCAAGGCAGAAACAAGGAAGTTAGGTTTTGCCGCCTGGATTTCTTGATAGACCAGATACCACACCTGTGTACAATTCCTCTGAGTCCTTGCCAATACTTTTAGGCACAGGGAACCCCAAGGGAGAGAAATACAAATTCCAAGAGGTCTTGGAGAAATAGCTAGGAAGTCCCAGAAGTCCCATGGCAGAGTCTAAACTGGACTCATCCCTCAGCTTTTGAATTTGAAAACTTGGAGCCCATTTTGAAAATCGTCCCCCAGACATTTTTCTTGTAGAAACCTGGCACACAGTTTCCTAAGAGACAGTCAATGTGTCATTGATTTTTGAAAAAGCCCCAGACTTAAAAGAAACGCCAACAAATAACAAGAAACTGTTGGCGTTCTTTCCAGGCTCTATTGCACACAACTACTCGGCTCTGGTAGTCTCCCATGATCCCACTTTTTTTTTTTTTCCTGCGAAGCCCTGACATACCTGTCACAGTGAGAGCATTTAAAAGGCTTGGCACCGGTATGCTTCCGGAAGTGTCTGGTTAATTCATCACTTCTTGCAAAACGCCACTCACAACCTTCCCATGAGCATCTGTAAGGCTTTTCTCCTGGGAAGAGAGCACATGACAAGGCACCATGATTCCACTGACATGATAGGGAGGAAGGAGAAGACTCAACAATATATACTGTGAGACCCCTGAAGCCTACAGACTTCACCATATGTTTTAACAGAGACAGTACCTTTGGCACGCTAAAGGTCACAAGCATAGGTTCTTTCCTAACCTAGCCTGAAGCTTCACTCAAGCTGTTGTCCCAAGGATCCAGGTTTGACAAAATCAGAGTTAACTCATAACAATGACAATTACTCAGATAGCTGACATATTTGCAGGGTGAGGTGTCGGCCCGCAGGACCCACAGCCGTGCTGAGAGTTGAGATTTATTGCTTTCTCCATGGAGACATCCCCCTCCAGCACAATCTGGTTCCTTACTCATTTCCCTGGGGAATGAGTCGTCCATCCGGGACCTTCTACATTGCTGCAAAAACTCAAGTCATGAGTTTCTGAGAAACCTCATCCAGAGACTTTCAGATCAGTTTCTAAATGGCAATCAAACAACCAAATGGACATCACCCCCTAGCTAAATTATAACTATGAATTAAATAAAATGCTACCTATGAGTAAAAATAATGCTAAAGCCAACCTGAGTCAAAACTGTCTTGTCCTGGGAACACTCACATCCTCTCCCAAGTTCTGTGCCTTTTCAGGACCCTGACTTCATCTCTCCAGAATTTGATTATCATCTCCATAAGGTAACAATTTATGACATGGAGCTTTCCTGCGATCCTTCCACTCATATCCTGTATGTTGTACTGGTAGTTTCAAACAAACAAGAACTTCATTCTAAGTGGTGGCATTGAGTTAAGAAAGCCCTTGTTTAAAGTGGTTGTGTGACACAGTATTCACAATAAATGTCCCCTGGTCAACACTAGCAAACTCCATGCTGCCCAAGGACCCTCTGTCCTGACCCTGGACTTACATGACATAGAATGAGGAGCAACCCAACATAGCACGATGCATGTACAATGGGGAAATGAGCACCGAGTGGGTGAAGGTTTGAGTGTCGATGGAGAATGTGATCTGGCCTCTTGTTTAATCTGAAAGCATGACCCATTCATCTGATTCAAATGTCCAGTCTTTTAAGATTCTACTCTGAACTCCAAAAAGACCCAATTCCTTGGTGACAGGAATTAAGGAAGTGAGGATTTCCTTGCTTGTGACCACATCCTGAGGAGCCCTGGCTCCCTCCCAGGGCTGGTGCAATTCACTGGCGCCCACCAGGGGCTGACCTCCCAGGCCCCATGAGGGGACTGACCTGTGTGAGTACGTTGATGTGCTTTCAAGTGGGAGCTTTTAGTGTAAACTTTCCTGCAGCCGTTGAAGTGGCATCGATGTACCCTCCTCCTGCCATCTGGGGAGGCATCGCCACTACCCTTGTCACCAGACTTCCCAGAAGTTCCACTTCGAACCTTCCCTGGTGAGGGTAGGTCTCCTGGCCCACAGCCCCATAGTTGAGAAGATTCCCTGTTCACTTCTGGAGAAGAAGGAGGTGTGGAAATGACGGAGGAGCTCAGATTTCCTGAACTGACTAAGACTTCACCAATGGGATCAGAGGTAAATTTGGTCGTGGGTGAAAGTTCCTCAGAACTGTCTGAAGACTCGCTGCTGACATCAGAGTTTAGGCTGTTGGTCTCTAAGTTATAATTAAAGCTGGGGCTGATCAGAGAGTCTTCTGGGGGACTAGAAGAAATCTTCAGTTCTGATTCCTCCTTCTTCTCTCGAGCTAGAATGATTTTGGTCCACAGATCTTCCTGGCTGTCAAATTTTATCTCAGAGGCTGACACGTAGCAGGGCTCACTCTGAAGATAGCGTTCCAACTCCAGGCAGGTCTGTGCAGAATGAACCACAAAAAGGCACGTGATTGTTACGACTACTGAAAGTGGAACTGAAAGCACATAGAAAAAAAAAAAGAAAGAAAGAAAACATGCAACAAAGAACAAATAAATTATTTCTGGGCCACGTACTATGGGCCAAAGTCTTCTGTAATGGGAATCTATTTCCTCATGAATGCTAGAGAAAAGCTGTTTCTAGGAATACGAAGGAAAAGCAGAGGTAAAGCCTCTCTTGGTTTCTTCAGTGTTGGACCAATGGCCACAATGAGTGATGATCACTGGGCCTGTTTTGTTGTTATAGTTACAAGTGTTGACATTGCTAATGAGGATCCTGGTAAACCACACAAAGAAAATCAGCCTTCCACACATCACACCCCCTCCCACCAACCTAACAGGTTTAACCAGATCGTTTGACATTCTCTAGAACCAGGAGCATCACTGAGAGCCCCAGCCATCCACAAGTATTCACACAACAGGACAGAAAGATTGCACAGCACACAGTATGGTCTGAAGACCCCCCCACCCCTTAGGGACACAGCTGACAATATAGGGCTGGCTGTAGTCAGAGAGCAGACAGCAGATCTGTCTGTATTCAGGGACATCAATAGATTGGAAGAGAACCCTCCCATGTCCTGTGTAACTAAGACCTAGGATATATATATATATATATACATATATATCTACGTATATTTTTAAATGTCATTTCCCAAGTACAGGGCTGTGGATACCACCAAACTTTAATGATTTCTTCACTGTGGTCAGAAGGAAACAAGAAACCTCAACAACACAAGTGGAGGAATTCTTCCAGAATGGCCATCTGCTATTGTAAAGGATGGAAAGGGGAAATTACTCCCTGGCCCTTCTGGGAGTCCCACAATGAACAAGGACTTTATCTCCTGGCCAAGAGTACAACAGTATGAGTCATCACTCCTATTTCTTTCACGCAATGCCAAAGGAGACTTCCTTTTGAAATTCTGACCAGCAGCCAAATAAGGACCCGGCTCAAATATACATGCAGTGTGCCATGGACAGGGTGCCCCTTCCCCAGCCCCGCAACCAACCTTTCAAGGAGCTACACAACTGCAGAGATCAGCATCCCCTCTCCCCACCATTTCAAACTTTCTAGCCACTGGAAAAGAAAAATGGTAGGAAACATTTTAGGATTAAATTATGTCGGCCCTGATTTTTCACTAGGCTTGCCTGCATGCCCATATAAGGATGTCTGTGCCGCTGACTATTCCATTCTACAGATAGAAATTTCGAAACCAAACTGCAACAAATTGTTATCAGGGTACAGACCATCTTGAGCACAGCCTACCAGCAAAAGGGCTAATGCTTACTAAACAATGCCTTCTATCACACTATACAGAGATCCTAATCCCTCCCTGTATGTGTGTCACACAGCAAGCAGGCACAAGGGGGGGGGGGGGGGGTGGAGTGGGGGGTTCTTGTTTTCTCTTTCCCCCCAAAATTCGATGTCTGTTACAGTGCACACAGTATTCTGAATCGAGGTGGTGATACATATTATTGATGTTCCAAAGAAAAGGCGAGCACATTTATGAAGATCTTGTTAAACTTTAATCAACTGGCTAATTTAAAATCTCCATTATGCTGATGAGCAGTGGGGACCTGATCCCAGCTCTCTGGGAGTTTAAAAGGCTCTGAAGGGGACCAGGAGCCAAGTCTGGCTTGTTGCCCAAATCCCAAATGCCTAAAGGAAACTACTAAGATCAATTTCAATCACGTCCCAGGGAGCAGCTTCTTTGAGGAGGAAAAACCAGGAGGGGGAGAAGAAGGCAGGAGAGGATTGTGAACAATTAAGCCGGCATGTGGAGGTTTCAGCCAGCACTTCGCTTTTCATGCGTTTTAAAGGCAGGGAGGTTGTGAAACCCACAGAATATATTTCATCTGCTAATTCACTTGGAGGGAAAAAAAAAAAAAAAGCCAGCCCAGAAGGGTAGAGAGACATCCACCAAACCATCGTTTTAGAGACAATGGTAAAAAGTGTTCGAGACTGTCACGCCATTAAGGGAATCCTAAGACTTAGAATGGGGGGGGGGGGGGGGGGGCTTTTATTTCCGTTGCCCCAAATTCTAGTTCCATTAAAATGCCGGAAATCGAGATCTTTTTCTTCCCCAAAGTAAGACCCGAAGCAATTAGGAATGGACTCATTGTCATATGACTGACAAGTCACTTGTGTGCAAACAGCCCCCCCCCCCCCACACACCCGCCCCACAACCAACAAGAAAAGCAGGTAAGAAAAACAAGGCAGACATTGGCGAATGTAAGAATTTATCCAGAAGGAAAAGAAACTGCAAATGGCCTTGAGTTAAAAAAAAAAAAGCTGCTGCGTTCCGCAGGCGAAATATTATACTTTAAAACACTGGGTGTACAAACATCAAAACAAAACAAAATCTTTAAATCAAATCTTTTGGCAGTAAAGGCAAGCTCGTTCATATGACAAAGTCCAGCTGTGGAGTTTGGAGCTGGTACAAGCCCCAAACTTGTGCCAACGGCTCCGGTCTGAATTCGGCAGAGAAATCTTGGGTTCCCTCCCCTCAGGTGGATGCCGCTTGGAAGCTCGGAATTAGCAAAAACAGAAAAATAAATAAAGAAATAAAGAAAAACGTTCCGGGAACAAGAGCTCGCCTCCACACAAATGACAACTCTAGTCCTAGCCGCCGAAGGCTCGCTTTACTGTGCCTTCATCATTTCAGGCAACAGAAGGGCATCTTAAGATCATTACTTTATTTTTTTAAATTAGGCAAACGCTAATCATTATTTAAAAGATGCACTTCCAAGCACACACCATCTTGCCTGCGCCTCCGCGAGACTCCCTTCTCGGCGCACCGGGCACGTGAAGAAAAAAAAAATCCGTATTTACCTGTTGCCAATATTCCTCCAGGGACGGCAGAGCCGAGAAGTAGCCCGTTTCGTGAACAATCTGTAGTTCCTGGAAGATGCTACACATTGGGAGCACATCCATGTCGGGTTGGAAAAGACAGTCCTCGCTGTCGGGAAAACAGGGAGGAGAGCGATCAGGAGTCGGAGCAGAAACTGTCCCCGGGAGCGCAGGTGAAAGTTTCATGCAAACTGGATGGCGCTGCAATCGGACGCCGGGTCCGGACCCTCCCGCAGCCCGCAGCGCGCCGAGCCCACGCAATATTTGCAAACAGCGGACTGACTGCAAGCGTAACCCCTGCAAAACTTCCCTATTCAAAGCTC